CTCTGATGTGCAGTTGTTCATCCTCGGGGCAGCCCGAGCTGTTGTTTGTATTTCACCCACTGGTTCAGAGGGATCTGCAGCAGCAGAAAACCACACAGAAGCAAAATACAAACAGATCCCTGTGAAAATGCACAAAATATGGTCAGTGCCGAAGGCTCAAATATCCTGCCCCTTAATTATAGGAGTATCCAGATTATCATTAGTACTCATTCATTACTATTTTTCTTTTTTGTTCTTCGGGAACAGGAGTTTCCAATTGCGAATTTCTCATCAGGTGAATGACCTGACTACTTTAAAGTCAATTCACTGTTTAAAATATATAGGATCCTACTCTTTATTTTAGGTGCTACTACTGTTTTAATGGAAGATGTCATGTTAAGGACAATGGAGCATGTAATGGCATGAGGTTTTTTTTCCTCTGGGGATTGCAACAAAAGGCTGATCAAATTTCAGTGTTTCTTAGAAGTTGTTCTGCTTTGACAGGCTCCAGCACAGGATACTCTGAAGTTCAGCTGTGGGGACTGCATGGCAGTGACACAAAGTCACATATGGCCATTCCAGTGCATCCTGCATGTGTAAAGTGAATTTGTAGCTCTGTGGCAAATAGAGCGACACTACTTCCAAGCCCTGCTACAACAGCTGTACATTTGAATGCATCTACTTACCTGCATGAATTATTCACTAAGGATAATGGTTTCGAGCCAGTAAAATGACAAGACTGTTTTAAGTCAGGAAGCACCAGAAACAAGATAAACTCACAGTGTAGCCTTCTCAGTCCTCTCCACCAAGAGCCACATTTCTCACCTCAGTGGGGACTTGTTTAAATTACTCTTTGTACCTCACAGAATTCTCACATCAATGTTTCATCCCCATTCCCACGATGAAGCTGAAGGATTTACAGAAAGGTGTCTTTATGTGCATCCATGAAGTAAAAGTCAATTATCATGTCCTATTCCACATCCAGAACTGGGGGCACCAGAACATAAATGTCAAAGCTCTGATAACTTGGACTGTCCAGTTTGGGATGCCTTATATTTGATTAATTTTTCCCCCAGAAAATTAAATAGCATAGAACTTTCTATATTAAAACACAGCCCTCCTGTTCTCACCTCCACTCTGAACATCAGCAAAGAAGAGTGCAACTGATCACTCAGACATAGCTCAGCTATAAAAATCCTGACTTCCCCCAATGTCACAAAAATTATGACCTCAAGCAGGGGTAAATTAAATTTTCTCAGGAGCATTCACCTCTTCGAGTCCAATCTTTTTATTCCTGCAGCTCCTGATCACTAATAGATGATACTGCATGTTAAAATAATCCTTGTACATCTTAGTAAGCTTTAGCCACTGGACAAAAAGGTTCAACATCTGCAGCTGGAATGTATTTTGTAGCTGGAAAGGTAATAATAGATTCCTTGCCAGGACATTCCTTAACTTCTGGCAGCCAAAGGAATGGGCTGTGACTTGTGTGGGACAACTCTCACTGTGCATTTCCATCGCTTGGGATCCCTGATCCATTGGTTAGGAAGATTAAAATAAAGTAAAAATAAATAAAAGACTTTCTGCCTTATCTGTTCAGCTGCTGTGCTCATTGCACCATTCTGGAAAAACTCCAAGCTGCTCAGTGATCATTTTTATTAGAGATGTAACAATTGTGGGATTGAGTTTATTAAAACTAAATAACAGAAAATACAAGAAAATTACCTTATGAGAAGGAAAATAAACAAAGGAAACAAGCAAACAAAAAAATGTAGTTCTGTGGTGTCCAAATTCCAGAGGGATGCACGTCCCAGATGAGAACCTGTGTCTGAAGGAAATGGGACTTTCCTGACATCTCTCCACTGCTCAGGTTCTCAGTTATCCAGGTCTGAGTACATGGAGAGGAACTTGCAGGGTTATAATTTACACATTTCTCAAAACGTAGAGGAACTTCACTTTGTTCAACGTTTCTTGGTCAGATCTGATGGAATTGGCCAATGCTTTGGCCAAGGGCTGGTGCTGAGCAGCACAAACTCACAGGCAGTTGGGTTGCACAAGCTTCCTTTGCCTGGGAAATGAAACCAGAGCTGACAAATGGCTCTGTGTAAATTCCTGCCACCAATTCCCTCTGCAGCCTCCCAGCTCCCCACGGCTCGGAAACCACTCATCCCTCATCTCTCCTGATTAGAGCAGTAATGTATCCAGAGATTAGGCCAAGTAACATTTCTCTCCCAGCAACTAATTTAATGCTTTTTAAGATATTACAGCATCTTTTAGGTCCAAACCTTTCTATTTTGGGACTTCCAATTCAAATTTGCCTAATAGCTTCGTATAGTGGTCCCTTGCTCCCAATAAATTCCTCATTTCAACTTTAATTGGTTTGTTCATGGAGAATCACAATTTACACGAGCTGAAGAGATCTATCACTAGCAGCTACTGAATATAAGTAATATTTGATTAAACCAAATGAGATAGTAATTTGCTTTTTTTCCCCTAGTATTTGCTAATGATATTGCCAATTTCTACTAGCAGTTAAAGTATATTTACACCATAATCAATTAAATGTATTTGGAATAGATATTAAATAACACTGTGGGTTCAGCATCCTTTTAAATTTACATTTTATCATTTTAAACATTTTAAAATGTCAGCCAATTGTTCTCTAGTGCAAAGTAATCAAAACTAGAGATACAGACTGGTTTTATGAGTGGTGATGTAAGCAACAAGTGGAAACATAAAAAATTAAATTATTTGAAGAGCTGTAATACTGAAGTATAAATCACCCCCAGTGATTTGAAAGTCTCATCCAAAAATAAAGAATTAACTCATTTTACTCAGCAGAGCTCAGCCTGAAGAGCCTGGAAATGGAAAAAGCACAGGACAGCTCCAACGGAGTTTGATAGAGGGAGGGGAGATGGAGATTGGGTGATTAAGAAACTTCCTGGAAACACTTTTGTGAAAAAAAATGGATGCTCTAAACCAGCGTGAAAATACCTCAACTTGAAACACCCATGGTTGGAACATGGAAGATTTTAAATCGTTTTAAAGCCAGGAAGCCCAGGAAGCTTCCTAAAGACAAGGGAGGTCATGATTTTTTTTTTTTTTTAAATCATCACTGTTTCAAAGCAATTACAGTTCCTTCCGGGGTGTCTAACTCATAATTTCAAACACTGTGGTTCTCAAACTGAGAGCAAGGGATTCCATTAAATGAAAATATATCAAACAGATATTTGAAATGCATGTAGAAATCATATTAGCTTGAGGTACTGGCTGCTATTAATTACTGGAATATGCAGAATATTTGAATAAAAATTTCTTAAGCTTCTTTGATGTTGTTTTTCTATTCAGGCCAGAATAATGTCTATGCAAAACACAGATTTATGAGTTAAACATATTGAGGAAAAAAAATAACTTTGGCATATTAATTTGAGTTCTTTGGTTATTCTTTTAGTTTAGCTCAAGAGTTGGTTGGGTTTTGTTTGCCGTGTAATAAAATACACTAGGAGAGGGAGCTGTATTTTGGCTAAATCTGAATTTATGCTGATGAAGTATATGTGCCCTGTCTCATGTTTTTCAGCATCACACAGGGATTGGGGAGCACTGAGTTAGGATGGCACAATTTTGGGAGCCTGAACTGAGGTGCACCAGTGGCCTGGGATGGGCTATGGGGGAAGAAAACACCAAGGACAGCGAAGGCTGTGACAATCAACACCCAAAACAAAGTGCAGCCAACAAGCTATGAAATAAATAGATTAATGTGATGAGTAGGTTTAGATGGGGTAATGGGAATTCTTCCTTGTGAGGGTGGGGAGCGGCTGAAATTCCCAGAGCAGCTGTGGCTGTCCCTGGATCCCTGGCAGTGCCCAAGGCCAGGCTGGACATTGGGACTGGAGCAGCCTGGGACAGTGGAAGGTGTCCCTGCCATGGCAGGGGTGGCACTGGGTGACCTTTAAGGTCCCTCCCAACCCAAACCATCCTGTGAGCCCATGGACACATCGGGTGTTTGGCTACGAGCGGCTCTTCGGGGCCTTCCCGGTGCCCCCGAGCCCAGACGGTCCCGGCGGTGCCACTGGGGCACGAGCTGTGTGTCACCCCCCGTGTCAGCCCCGCTGTCACAGCCCCGCTGTCACAGCCCCGCTGTCACAGCCCCGCTGTCACAGCCCTGTGTCAGCCCCCGATGTCACAGCCCCGCTGTCACAGCTCCCGTTCATCACCACAGGAGGCCCCTTCCCGAGGCAGCCCCGCACCGGGGAATGCGGGGCCGAGGGAATGCGGGGATGAAGGGAGGAGGAGATGAGGAGATGAGGGATGCGGGGCTCGATGCGGGGCTCGATGCGGAACTCAGGGGATGCGGGGCTCAGAGGATGCGGGGCTCAGGGGCTCAGCGGATGCGGGACTCAGGCGATGCGGGGCTCAGGGGATGCGGGGCTCGATGCAGAACTCAGGGGATGCGGAGCTCAGGGGATGCGGGGCTCGATGCGGGGCTCAGGGGCTGCGGGGCTCAGGGGCTATGGGGATGCGGGGCTCAGAGGATGCGGGGCTCAATGCGGGGCTCAGGGGCTGCGGGGCCGCAGCTGGAGGCTGAGGGGCGGGCGGGAAGCGCGGCCCGCTGCGGACGGACGCGGCGGGCACCCAATGCGCTCCGGAGGGAGGGCAGAGCCCCGCGGCCCGACCCAATGAGGCCGCGCCCGGAGCGGGACTTCCTTCGGGGATCCCACGGCGGGGGAGCCGCGGCCGAGCGGGGACACGTCAGTTCGGGGCCGGGACCTGCCTTTGTTCCCCGCAGCTCCGGCCCTGCAGCTCTCCCCGGGCCACAGGGACACGGAGCATCCCCGGTATGAGCCCCGCTGCTGCCCGCACAGCTGAGACCGCCCCGGGCGCCGCGGCCGTGCCCAGGGGCTGAAACGCTGGCCCAGCCCCGCCTCCACCGCTCCTCCTTCCCTTCCTCCTCCTCCTCCTCCTGCTCCTGCTCCTCCCGGGGCCTCCGATGCCGCCGCCTCCAGCCCGCTGCTGAGCCGTGACGGGCGGGGGCCCTCGGGACCCCGCCGGGGACATGGGCAACGGGATGTGCTCCCGGAAACAGAAGCGGATTTTCCAGACGCTGCTGCTGCTGACCGTGGTGTTCGGGTTCCTGTACGGGGCGATGCTCTACTACGAGCTGCAGGGCCAGCTGAGGAAGGCTGAGGCCACGGCGCTCAAGTACCAGCAGCATCAGGAGTCGCTCTCGGCTCAGTTACAAGGTACTCCCTCGGCAGGAGCCTCTGCTGCCCTTCCCCAAGGCTTGCAGAACACCCTCCTCCTCCTCCGGTTGTCCAACCTCTATCAAAGTTTTGCTCCTTCTCCCCCTTCTCCTCCAGCCTGTGGGGTTTTGGGGTCCCCCCGCGCTGGGATCCCAGCCCCGTCGAGTTCAGGGTGAGGTTTTTGTCCTGCATTCCTAGAGAGCTCTCCTGCCCTCACATCCTGTAGTGACTCCTATTCCCAAAGGACTGCACATCACTTGGCAATTCCTGGCATAAATGGGAAAGGCAGGCGTGCACTGCAGACCGTGTCCAGTCTGGGATTTTTGTGGGCTTCTCTGTTGTCCTGCAGGGTTTTATGTTGAGCATCCATCTGCAGCTCCTGGGCAGCATAAACCTTAAATAGCTCCAGGAGGAGAGTATTCTAATAAAGTGGTTTTAAAGGGTGATTTAAAAGTAAAGTTCAAGTAAGTTATTTGAGTAAGACTGTTCTATTGCTTTTGAAATAACTTTGAATTTCTTGGCTTAAAGGTGCCACATCAATACAGATCCTTGTGTATCTTGGTTTAAGGATGCAGCAAATGTGGGTGTCCTGTAGTTGAAGAGGAAAAGTTGCACCCGTCTGACATCTGCATGTCAAGAAAATCAGAAGCAAAGCAGCAGGGATGTACCTGAGACATCAGTGGTCTGGGAAGTGAAAGACCTCAGCACCTCTCTAATTGTTAAATGTGAGGTTATCAGGTCAGCACAGGCAAAGCCCAGAGCCAAGTCAAGTTTTCTTTCTCAAAATAGCTTGAAAGAAGAATCAGAGGAATCTGCTGTAGCAGCACTAAACTTCAGAGTAATCCTCAGGCATCCTTTTCCCTGTGGAAGCATCCATCAAAGCATGCCTGGCAGCACACAGTTTGTGTGCAGAGAGCACAGAGTTGGGTTTATGCTGTTAGATCCTTACAGTGATTCCTTCCTTCAATGTGTTTAGTCACCAGCTGACACCATCCTTACTTAGTATTTCAATTTCACACCGTTTCCAGGTAATACCAGGGAGCTCTTTGCCAAAAACCTTCATTTTAGTCACAGAAAAGGTGTAAATGTTTGGCTGGGAAGGGAGTGTGTGGCAGATGGCTAAAGGGCTACTCTTGCTAGGCTGTGCATCTGCCAACACAGGACACAGGAACATCTTGTTCTCAGGCTCAAATTTGACAAGTTGGCTTTTTCTGTTGCTCCGGCTTTGCCAAAGAGGAGTGTGCAACTAACTTTATCCTGACACAGAGGAGAGATTCTCTGGATCAGGTATGTGAAGTCTGGAACGTTGGTTTGAACTTTCCATGCTTGAAGCATGATTTTGAGTAGCCATCATCTATCCCAGCATGTTCATGGAAGCAGCAGGCAATTGTGGGAGCTGCGTTTTCTGTAATTCTCTTGCTTGTTTGAGTGCATCAATGAGAAATGTGAAATATGGGCTAGGATCTGATAACATTAATAAATTTGATGATCCATGCAATAAGCTCACATGGTTCTGGGATCCATGCCAGTGTATCAAGCCCATTAAGCAGGAGAATTTATCTATGGCAAGTACAGTAGAAGTAAACCCTGTTTAAAAAAATAATCACTGGCAATTAAGTCACAGAATAGAAGGAAAAGTAAAATGTAACAATAAAAAACAGTCCTTTAAATTTTCCTGTGTTCTGGAAGCAGCTGTTACACCTAAAAGAGAGTGAGAGCCCAGAGAAATACTAAATGCAGCAGCAGCCCCTAGCTGCCTAATGTCCCACTAAAGTAAAGGGAAGTTATTCCTGAGGACCCCAGAGGATCTGGGAAATAAACTTTTCTTCCCTGCCTTTCTGCAATGGCCTCCCCTGCACAATCACCTGGGTTTTTGCAGTAGGAGTTTGTTAATAAGGAGAACACAGGGAATTCAGAGCCTGTGTCTAAACCCAGCTCACCTAGAGGGACACAAGCTGAGTCTGATATCCACCACCAAACCCATTCCTGAACCTGTCCTATTTAACTCTTTCTTATGGAAAAACAGGAAGGAGTTTTCTTTAAGCAGAGACTTGGAAACAACATAAAATGCTGACAGCAAATCCAGTTTGCAGGTGCAGTATCTGACTGCACTTTGAACTTTTTTTGATTTTAAATGACCTGGATTTTAAATCAACAATGTTCCTGTTGCCAGAAAAAAAAAACAAACTCTGTGAATATCTGATCTACATCTCTTGGCTGTCCAGAGATTATTCTTTGAGTTTATTGCTATATGAGAACAATAAAATTAAAGTATTGTGTTGTTAAAGTAATGCAACTTATCTTTTCCATGTGGCATAACCAGTTTCTCTATAGATCCTGGTCTAGAGATAACTTGAGGGCCTGAAATATGATGGAAGCACTATGAAATCTTTTTAAAAGAAACCAGTTAAAGGGGAAAGTTAAAGAAGAGTGCTGCAGCAACAAGGATTGATTTCTTGGTGTTCACAGCTCTCCTGGGTGATTGAATAAGACTTTAAAGCTGGGCAGAACAGGATACCCTGGACTTACATTTCCTGAACAACCATTTCATCAGAAGGCTTTTACAGGTTTAAATGTAAACTACAAGAATAAAAGGGAACTTCTGAAAGTGGTGTTTTTGAGAATGCTGAGGCTGTATTGTGGCAGGCTGGCTGTGCCCCTGGAAGTCTGACTGGAGTGAATCTCTTGGAGGACAGTGAAGTATCATCTGTTGTCTGACTCTTACAGGGTTTTGTTGTGACTGCTGGAGCCTACAAAGGCAGTTGCTTGCCTGATTGCACACAGAGGGGCTTGGGAGTGCAACTTGAGTCCATTTGTGAAATGCCTGAGGTTTATGGGCACTCCTGAGTTTATGGACACAGTGGCAGTTTAGGACCTGTATGCCTTTGGTCTGCCCAAAATCTGAATCAAGATCCTCAGCTGCAGCTCAGAGTGCAGCTCCTTTCACTCCCTGCTGTCCCCTCTACTATTTTTCATGTTTTTATGGTTTTTTTTTCATCCATGTAGGTAGTAACAACCTTCTTTTTGGTACTTGCCAGTTCTTCATGCCCGAATGAGCTGTTCTTTCTGTTTTTCCATGAAAAGCCAGCTGTCTTAGATTTTTTTCTTTTTCATTGCCTTATTTTGCTCATGCACAGCAACACATGAAGGAGGCTCAGTCTCCTGGGAATACATGTGGGAATAGGAGTACATGTGGAAATAGCCCAGATCACTGGGGCATGGTGCAGGAAGAATCTGAGAATCATTAAACACCTGATCTGAAGAGAGCTGCACGTGGCCATGCTTTTGGAGCTCTCCCTCGTGTTCACAGCTTCAGCCACTCTGCTGAGAAGTGTTTGTGCCCCTTGGAATAAGCCCAGGGTACAAAGGGAAGGATGGCAGACCTGGGAAACACAATAACTGGGTTAGAAAGACTGGGCTCTTAAAGTCAGCCTCTTTAGAGGATGAGATTGCAGAGGATTTTGTAGAAGAATATCAAACTTTGGCATTTTTCTCTAACAAAGTTCTTCTGGGCATGGAGAAAGTAGGGCTGCTTTTGTAATCCACAAAGGGAATACCAGGGGCAAAATTTAGAGATGACACAAAATTTTTTGACTGCTGAGAAAACCTCAAGTCATTGTTATCTCTGAGGTCTTTCATAGAGAAGCTGATCTTCCCAGTAAGCTGATTATTTTCAAGTCTCATTCTTTGAGCACTATATACATTTGAAACATGGAGATAATCTTACTTAGTATTTCTTAAAGTGATAAAAGCAAAACTTGATGCTCTTTGCCTTCTTTGAAACTGTCAAACTAAGTCTTGAGCTATTGGCCATGCAGGAACAGGCTTCAGTTGCTAGAAAAGAACCACACTGAGAGCTGCAGGTGAGCCTGGTTGTATCTGTGACTGCTGCAGGATTGAAAGTATCTACAAACGTCTTCTTAGCCCTTGTAGCTTCTCTCTTCTCATCCTCTGGGTGTTAAGTAACCCCTCGTGTACTATTTTAATCTGTTTAATCTCTTTTAATCCCTAATCCTAATAACAAGATGCAGTTAGTGCCTCTTACTACCTGGATTTTTTCTGCTCTTCCTGTGAGTCTTAACGTGTCTGATGGCTTTGTGCAATCTCTGTGTAGCCTGAGACTGTCCTGTGATCTTGGCAGCAAGCCCAGCAAGGACTCTGGACTTGAGAGTTTTCCCTACTGTGGACAAGGTGTGGATTTCCTCAGAGCTTTCTGATCCAGTGCTAGGAAGCACCACTTGTAGAGCAAATGCAGATTCCTCTGTGCCTGTTGTGCCAATTGTCCTAAATCAAGGCTCGCTGAGGGGGTGGCCTGCTGGGAGCTGGTCAGATCTATGGTAACTTTATGTGTGTGGAATTGCACAATGCACTGATCTAGAACACAGTTCTGTGTCACTTTAGTGGTTAATATTTATCATACCTATATGCAAAGTGCACAGATGCCAAAGCTGCTGAAATCACACCATTCTGGGTGTACTTTGCTATTACAACTCTCTTTTACAGTGCCTTAAACTTGTACCTTGAGTTGGCAGAGCTGGGAAGAAGCAGCACTGCTTTTAATGGCTTCTTTTTCACGTGCCTCAGACAAGTAGAACTGCATCTGCTGCAGCTCCTGTGTGTTTAGTTGTTCTTCCTAATAACAGAATCCTGAATTCCCCTCATTCCTGTGACTTTCAGGTTGCACATAACACTGCAGCACTTTGATAGTGTTTTGTTGCTGCCTCAGAGATCCATGGTAGCATTGTTGGAGGAGAGATTTGTTCTGTGTGTACTTCCCTTGAAGTGGCAAGTGCAGCATCCCAAATCCTGCTACCTGGCTTCCTGAACTGGAAAGCTTTGGTTTGTAACCTCCTCTGAGCACCTGGCTGTTGTACCTCCATTCATATTTTCAATGGGTATTTAATGTTCTAAATACTTAAAACCCATGAAATGCTTGAAATTGTGCAGAATTTTAGTATGGAAGAGTTACGTGGTGTAATGTATATTTATATATAAATATG